AGGTGAGTCTCCTTTCACACAGGTGACAGACCCAGTCCTGAGTTCACAGCTTGCCAACACAGGCATCGTTGTCCAAGAGTCCAAGGCAAATGTATGCTTCTGTCACACAAACTCTTAAAACACTATATTCTTAGAAAATCAAGTTTATCCAAATATTTATTTAATTCTATTTATGTAATATAGATGGATATCGAATTTGTTATCATTTTTAAAATAGAATGTCCTTTAATGCTTTAATAGTTCTATAATATTTAAAAACAGTGCTCTCACAAGTGAAGAGGAAACACACACACACACACACACACACACACACAGAGCCTCAGATAGGACCACTGACTAAAACTGGTCATGTGGATGTGGTTAGTTCATATGAAAAAAAGTAGGATTCAGTAAGGGTTTGTCTCCATGAGTGAGGAGACATTCACTAATGCTGCTGTATTGCTGGAAAATTGGGTTTATCCTTGCTGTCACAAATGAACTGACTTTTTATCCTAAATTATTTCATTCATGTCCATTCTTTCAAAAATATTGAAATATTGCATTTAGGTTAGTGGGACATTTTTCAGTTTAAAGATGTTATTTTTTGAAATAGTTATATTAAGTATTTATTATTTAATAAATATTTGATAGTAATAAACCTAATAAATGCTTCATATTTGTTTTTCACTTTAGATCTGTTTTTTCCAGACTTCAGCTAAAGCTTTGTATTACTGGTACTATAGTTTCCTTGAAATATTTTTTCCAGTGCATTTACTAATTTATTCATTCAAAAAATGTATTGGACATGTATGTACTAGATATATTCAGGCCACCTTTACTCTAATTCTATATGAGAAATCATAGGTTTGTCATTTCTATTTTTTAATATAAATATATATGAATATATAACAATTTGAAGTGTTTAAAAGTTTGTTTATGTTCCACTTAAAATAATTTCACTGACCACTAGTGGCATTTTGAGAAAAAATACTTTGGCATTTATAAAGCACCTCATGTTCATGGTCTTCTTTAAGCCATCTCAACAATGATACTTATCCCCACTTTACCTATGAGAGAACTGAAGCTCAGAGAAGTGGCACACCTCAGGATGCAAATCACAGGCAGTTAAGGCAGCCCCAACCCTGGGCTGCTAACGCTAAGCCTGGTACTCTTTTTATGGTACCATCCCCCAACAACAGAACACTGTCAAAATGGAATGGGGAAGTGAAGAATTGAAAGGGGAGCTTGGGTCAGCTGTCTCATCTCTGTTATGAAGTCTGTGATATGGCTTGTGAGCTACCCTTTGACCTTTGTTTGACAGCTTTTCTTGCACTGAGTCAGCAAATAATTGAGACAAAGAAAGTGCTATGAGGATGAAGCCTGCAGGGAATTTTACATCATCTCTAGCTAACTGGTTCTATTCAAAAGTGATCTAGGATCATTGATCCAGATTCTTGTAATATGTACAGTACCTCCTTTTAGAGGGTTGATGTGGCTTTTTGAAATATCTGTATCTCTTTTTGCCATAGCCTTTGTTACTTCTGAGATACCATACATGCTGCTGTGCCAACCCCAAATAAAGTTAAATTACCAAATATTTAATATGTGCCTTGTAAGCAAAATAAGTAACCAGAAATTCTGCCTTATTCAGAAAAGCTCTTGATCCTCTGCTATATTATGGTACCTGGGTTGATGAGTATATTTCCAGCCCCACTGAATGTACTCAGAGACTGTGTGTTGAAGAATTTTTGTATCTAAAGAATTTAGATAAGTGAAAGAAAAGTTTTCTTTGTCAAAAATATTCAACAAATGTGTATTTATATATAAAGTAATATATGAACTATAATTATACATACATTTCAGTTACCCTTTTATAATTATTAAATAATGTATAAAGAGTTATGCCATGATAGCTGTTAATACTATGTAGTATCATTATTATTGGGGTGAAACTGTGTAGGCAGATTATGACTGAAGATAAATTATGAAATCCTTTCCCAGTTTCTCAGTAATGTAGGAATTAAGTTATTTGTGGAACTTCTGGCTTGAAAATATGCAAGAATCCAATAAATATAGGTAGAAGTACAAAATAGCTTAAATTACTTGCTCCTTTAGCATAGGTTTTTAAAAAATATCTGTATATGTTTAACCTTTTTAATATTATCTTTGTGTACTTGATTTCTAGTATTTTTATGCTTCATAAGTTAATTACATAGTAATTTTAAGGGACTATTCATTAAATCATTAAACATGACTTCCAATTGTTGATAAGTTGAATTTATTTTGTTCTTCTCTGATAGCAAGCAGTTTTTTTGGATATTGTTAAAGAGTTTCTTGAATATTGTTCTAGTATATGGATATTTCCCTAGAAACAGCACACAGTTTTCAAATATATTACACAATATAGAAAAGTACTAAAATTCAGAACATAATTAAACATTTTCCTCTGGATATAATCTTCTCAAAGCAGAAATCCACAGTGGTATTATGTTATTTATATCTAGTTTCAGAAAGCACTATCATTGCTTTGTCTTTCAAGGTTATTGAGTCTTTTATAAATAATATAGTTCATTATGACAGTACCTTAGAGCCTCACAGACAGATTTAAATGAAGAACCATAGTAGAGAATTAGTTCAAGAAAAAAATTACTGGAAAATTATCCAAGTATAAAAAAAATTTGAAGTTAAATTTGGGCAAGTTTTTACTTAAAGTTCTATTAACTTGTAATTTGATTTTTAAAAGTTTAATTTTTGAGTATGTATTTGTGTGTATTTTTATGTGTGTAATTTTTATATATAACTTTTACATATTTATAAATTTTGTATAAAACATATATGATGTTATATATTTATATAAAATAAATAATAATTTATGTATGTATAAAGTGACTTATTGCAATTGTATGGTAGAAAGAAGTTAAATATTTTGGAGTTAGAGCTGAGTTTCAATTATGGCCATGTTAACTGAAACTCTAAAGTCCTATTGGTGGAAGAAAAATAATACCAGCTGACAGTACTATCATATTAAGTGATAAAACAGTGTGTTTTACATAAAAATACACATATGTTTTTACTCTCCCTTATTCCTTATTTAATTAAAAATAAAACTCAAAGTTTTTTTTAAACAGCTTGATCTAACAGTTTCTTAACATTAAAGCCAAGAGGATAAGTTCTCATTTTTTTGTCTTGCTTTGTTTCAGTGTGAACCTGCATTCTGTGGCCGGATCAATATCATTTACATTTCTGTATTTATTTATTTATTTATTTATTTATTTTTGGTGCCAGGAATTGAACTCATGACTCATACATGCTAGGCAGGTGCTGTGCTGCTGAGCCATATCCCCAGGCCCTGATCAACTCCTTTAAAATCTCTCACTCACCAGCTTATATCTAACAGAACTTTATGTTGCAGGAGAACTCCCTTTTTGCTGGCGAGAAGTTGATTTAAATATAAGTAGAATTAATTATTGATACATAAGTGTAATGTGCACATCATCTTGCATATTCCCTACATGTGAGGGAACACAAGACCCTCATTTCTAAAATGAAATGTGAAAATATATCTCGGATCTGTTTTGTTTTAAACTAACACATGGATGTTTCTGCTTACTTAAGCTTTTCTAGTCATCCAGTAGCAGGATATTGTTTAATATGTGAAATATTATAAGAAACAAAGTTGTCTGTTGTTCTGGCACACAATGGATCAGACAGTCCCAGTGAACTTGTGCTTATGAGGTATGTGCGTTCTGTGGAACACAGTACAAAGAATGAAAAGAAAAAACTTCCATTATTTAATTTTTTTACCTTGTTGAACAATTAGAAATCCTTGTGCTCCTACATGATGGAAATACTTTGTTATTCTTACTAGAGTTGAAAGGGTTGTGGAGAAATTATGCATGGCATTACTGGGTCGGACATAAAGATTTAAAGACAAAAGTTAATAATTGATTTGCTTATTAGTATATGTTTTCTTTCTTAGGCATTTTTATGAACTCTGAATCTTTACATAAAAGTGGCCTAGGAGCAAGGAGGAGAAACTACAGTAACAGATGGCTTGGATGTGTGCCTTAAAGCTGTGTTTACACAGCAAGCAACACTGTTTTTACTTCGATTGATTTTTTTTTACAGGTCAATAAAAATAGAAAAGTTTTCTAACAGCCCTTTTATTCACAACTGACATACAAGTTTTGCTCTTTATCATTTTTTTGAGAGGGTGTGTGACTTCAGGAACCCTGATAGAGATCACCGGGCAGGTGGGAGGGTGTGATGGAGACTGCCTCCACCACACTTAGTGACTGAACTGTTACAGTGGCACGTTACACAGACAGGCAGTGATAAAGCAGGACAGGAGAGGGGACATGCCACAAGGTATTACTGATAGCACCCTTCTCCCACATGAGCGTGAGGCACGCTTGGCCAGTTACCCCATTTGCTTTTTGGCCTCCGCAGAGCACAATGCATCCTAAATAATAAGAAGTGCTCTACTCTAGGCTGTATGCAACATGATGTCACATTTTAATGCTCACAGCAAATCTAGCAGGAAGGTAGCTGTTATTTGTCCTTACTTTTAAAAGGAGGAAACCAAGTCTTAGAAAAGTTAAATGGGAAGAGGTAAGATTCAAACTCCAATCTCTTGGCCGCAAAACCCACCCTAATCATGGCTCTCATGTTCCTTGCAGGAATTCTAATGTGTGGTTGCTAAGCATCAAGCAGTGGAGAAAGCAAATCAAGGCTTTGATTTAATATGATTTTGTGAATCAAAAGTCACTTTAATTCCAAGTTTTGTTCCCCAGGTATTATTTTCAAATGTTGATGACTCTGAAGCCAGTCTTCCATTTCTACTGACACTAGAGCTGAGAGCCACAGGCTCAACTGCTGGTTGAGCAAGGACAGATTTGAGAGGGCAGTGAAACTTAGAGCTCCCTCTCCTGGTGCACCTGCTTGTACGGCAGGAAAGTAAAAACCGTGTTTAACAATTACAGGTGTGGGTAATGTGATTTGGTCTTCATACCTTCACTCAGGTGGAGTCCGAGAAGCTGAAGACACTAACAGAAGGTTTGGAAGCCTACAACCGAGCCCGGAAAAGAAACAGAAAGTAAGCATTTTTGTTTTCTATTTTGTTTCTCAAGAATTAAATTTACTGGTTTTCCTTCAGAGGGACAATAAAATCCCAAAATGTGGTGTATGTTGTGACTTGCCTCAGTCCAGTCCAGTAGTTTATTACCGAAGAGAAGCACTACAGAGAAGTCCAACTAGCTATCACAAAAAATATTTTAACAATTTATGTTTATTCTGTGTGTGGGATCTGCCCCTCCCTTTAACCTTATCCCTCTCTCATTTAGTAGGAAATAGAGTTAGTAGTTCTTTAAATATCAGTTAAATACACTCTAGAAATTTAGTGAGTCTGTCTATTTGCAATTCAAACACTTCGGGGCGGGAGAACTAACACCTAGTTGTACACATGTTAATGTGGCAGATTAATCATTTAGTCAAATTGATGCTCACTAATGAATATTGGTCACAGCAGGGGTATGGATTTTAAAATAGATTTTCTTTAGAATTATAAAAAGTTGAACTCAAGCTTTTCTAGATCTTTATTTCCTATATATAGCGTAGTACAGAAAGCCAATATTAGAAATCATCTTTGCTATTATACTGACTATTCACATTAATTCACATTCATACTAATGTAGAGAACTACAAACGTACCTTGTATACATACATATATTATTTTAAAATATACCATTGATATACTTATTAACTTGTTATGATTTGTGTATTATCAAACAATTAAAAACATTACATATTGATTTTTGTTTATGTACAATATAATCCTTATATTTATCCCCAAATATTTTTTAAATTTTTATTTTAAAGAGATTAAGACAAAAGAGGATGGAACAAAGCAGATCAGAACAGAACAATGTAAGCAACACAGCAATTCACAACAAGACAACCGGATATTTACAGTAGCTGCCATAATGAAATAGTCTTTGAAATAGTTGAGCAGACCTTCACATAAAATAATATCAAACATAACAAAATAGTATAAAACCATTTGAGAAAATGAAAGTATTACAGAGCATTCAGAACCAAATAACAGAAAATGAACAATGACTACTATATTATCTCATTTTCCATAGAAAATTTGTTTATACTATCATACATATTAAAATCCAATAAGACACAACATGATAGAACCAATGGAAATAGAAGAACAAAAGCATGGCAGGACTTCAAAGCAAGATGATATTAAATCAGCAATGGCTGCCATAATGTCTTGTTTTCTTCAGAATAGCTGTTCATACCATCACACATAATAAAATCAAACAAAACAGAATAAAACCATTCCAACTAATGAGTGAAAACATTATAAGGCTTCAAAGCAATGTAATGGGGAATCATGATTACCATAAAATCTTGTGGACTCTTAGCATTACTTACACTAGGGAGACTGCACGATATTTATACATGTGAGTTTGATTTATTTCACTTATGAGTATGGTCTCAAGTTACATCCATTTATTTATAAATATCTCAATGTGATCATTCTTTATAGCTGAGTAGTACTCCATTGTATATAAATACTACAACTTTTTTATCCATTCCTCAGTTTTGGACACTTAGGTTGTTTCCAAGATCTGGCTATTACAAATTGTGCTGCTATAAACATGAGTTTATACTGTAGTATTTACACTCTGGTATTATGTTTTCAGTTCTTTTGGGAATATACCTAAGGTGGAATAGCTGGGTCAAATGGAATTTCCATCTCCCTCAAATATTAACACTTAAGCTCAGTCTTTTTGTATCTTATTATCTCTTTTAAACTATCCCTTTAACATATGTTTGCACATCAAAATTTATAAAGTGGAGATCAGAATAATTAATGGTATATCTTACATAAAAGGCTTAAATAATGATGTCAGTAATACATATTAATAGAGCACTCTTTTTCCCTTTGTGATGTTTTTAACAATTCTTTCAAGAGGTAAAATTTTAAGTCAACAGATCTTAGGAAGAATGTTCACCTCCATAAATTGTGTCACAAGAAGATAACATCCGTAGGGCAAATCCTGTACACCTGTGTCCAGACTTTTTTGGAGGTTACATGTTGGCAGTAGTGGTGAGGGCTGAGTAAATTATCAGTTACTTCCCTGTACATGTCACAAGAAACACACAGGGCTAGAGGTTCCCTCTGTGCTGACTGAAGTGACACTTCCTCTGCAGAGGTTAGAGTAAGACAAGGTCAGTAAAAATAATACTAGGTTTGGATGAAAGGAGAGAAATTGTAAAATACCTACATCAAAAATATTGCAGTGACCAGTTTCTGTAAAATATCCAACAGTGCCTATTTCTCGGTGTAAACATTTTTCAAAATGTTTCTACCAATGAAACATGCTCCTTATGTGGGTTATACGCAAAACAGTTGATAGCATAAAAATGAAACAATTTCTCCAAATATTTAGCTACATTTCCTTCAAATGAGTTGGATTATTTTCCCATCCATTTTTTTTACTTCGTGGTTTCTGAAAGGTAATAAGGAAAAGCCACAATTTTGAAGTTGTTTTTACAAAGCCAGTTTACTGTTCGTGGTGAGTTAATATGGACACTCTCAGAAACAATTCTTATGATAGCCATAAATTCACAGCTTAGACTGGAAAGATAAAAGAAGAACATATGAAGCAAACGTTAGCAAAAATAAAGCTTTATTTCTTATACTGTTGTCTAAGCAGATTGACTTGCTTTATAGATCACCTATAGAATGCTATACATGTTGCACATGTAATTTCATGTCCATTATTTTACTCTCCCAATCTAAAAATGGGCCATAATTACTAAGCCCATTTTCAAATGAGGATCCTAAAACCCACAGAGCCTAAATAATTAGTTGAAATTACATTAGGTGAAATTAGTTGAGGAAGGATATTTGACAATGCAAAAATGCTGCAGTCACCAGATGCTTAAGCCAGTGTGAAGAATGGTAGGTTAAAGACTGAGTGCCAGGAAAACCGAACATTGAATAGAACAATGAACAGGGGAGAACGACTGGAAAGGAGGAGAGAACCAGAGAAAGGCGGTAGGGTTTGAAGTCAAGGGTTGAAAATTCCTGGATGGTAAAATGATGAAGGACAGATATTGTTTTGTTCAATAAGACAAGCACTAAAAGAATCAACATTGAATGGGACAATTTGGAGGTACAGCGGACCTCGGTGGGAAGTTTCCAGCCCATGATGGATGTAGAAAGTGGCCGTGGGTGGGGCTGGGGATTTAGCTCAGTGGCATAGACGAAAGTGGCCGCGGGTGAGGAAGGAGTGAGCAGAAAAAGCAGGTATAGATTTGTTCTCCGTCTTTACCCATGTGAAAAGATGTTGAAAAATGGCAACCAGAGAACTTTTAAGATGGCAAAGATTTGTAGACTGAGGAAGACGAAAAAAGGAAAAGCCTGAAAAAAGAAAGTAGTTACATTTGGAATAAAAATATTAAGATGTTGCTGTTTGACTTGGAGTCATGTCCAGTTTCAGGCACATTCCAGCTGTGTGACCCTGGTTGCTTAATTTCTCTGAGCCCTTCATGTCTAAAATACGAATATTAATTAGTACTTCATGTTTGTTAAAGATAATAAGAGAATGCATTAAAATGGTACTGGGCAAATGATATTTAGTAAATAGCTACTTTTATTATAAAGCTACAGGTAAAGAAGCAAAATTATGTAATATTTATGCTAGTGGAAACATTCTACCACCATATTAGATGTTTAAAACTTTGTGGAGTCATTTTAATCCTTAACATCTTAAGTCAAACTGTACAGTAATAAATATCTTTAAACTGATTTCCTAATTATAGCCTAATCACATAAGAGTTAACAATGTTTATTTAGCACATTACTCAGAGTAATTTTGTACTTAAGTATCAAGAAATCAGTTTATTAAAGAAAAATATTCTACAGCTTTTTAGATATACTATGATTTTCATTTAAGGGGAAATCAGATCTTCTATCTGTATATATACATACTTTTTGGTATACTTTTTTTTTTATAAACCTGGAAAATGTTAAGTGGTATAATGTCACAACTGTAATATAAAACCAAAAATCATACTTAGATTGCTAAATTTTCTAAAGTCTGTATACTTCCTCTATGGGTTCGATTATTTTGAGAGTCTGGGATTTTCCACATCCAAGTTTATTCCAGCTGGTTCTCTACACCTAAAGTGAGCTGCAGTCATTCTAAACTGACAGTGCAGAGTGGCATGCAGCTTCTCAAACCCTCCCCGCCTATTTCTTGGGTCATTCACAGATCTGTACCTGGCTTTTAAAAAAAATTAGTGAAGATAAGAATAATGTGTGACAATACACGCAATGGGTGAAAATGGCAGTTATCTCCATTAATAATTAGAAATGTGATTATATGAACATCTACTGCATGATCAAATAGGTTTTTAAGTGTCCATTAGTAAAAATGTTTATTATTAAATGTCAGTGGGGAATACAAAATAGTAAAGAAAATTCTACGGGAAGGCCCCTTAGACTGGAAGGCTAAGCTTTAACTAATCGTTCACGTCATGAACTCATGGAGTTTTTCTTTCCCTTCTAAGTTCATCCTTCCCTGGCCTGGCTGGAGTGTGAAAGTAGTCTGTAGCTTTGCCTTCTGATATATTCGAGCAGTTTCATGCTCTGTGTCCATATATGTATTTTCTCTTCCAAAAGTAGTAATTTCCCCCTCTAATAACTGTTTATTAAAGCCAAGACATTATATTGTACTAATTTCACCTAAATTACTATAAGGTTTTATAGACATTTTAAATATCTTATTGAAGAACAAAAGGAAAAATTGCAAAATTTTAATTAATGTTGTTGAATCATTTTAATATCCTTAATGGTAATGCTACTGCATTTTTATAATTGAGTAAAAAAATTATGACTGTTACCTTTGAAAAATATTTGTAATCAAATATATTTATTTATATTCATATAATTAATTTTACCACTCTGCCTAAAAGTGCATATATATTTTCCAAAATGTAGGACTATCCATGCTAGCTTTGGACAGATTTTTTTTTTTGGTGGTGGTACTGGGAATTGAACTTGTGACCTCATGAGTGCTTACTTTACAGAGCTAAATCCCTAGCTCTACATATTTTTATTTAGTAAATATACTCAGCCTTTCTGGTGTGCCTAGAAATGTAATATTCAGAGGTTGAAATCAAAGTTCTCGAAGGCACAGAAAGAAATGATGCAGATGAATTCTCCCATCATGTTGTACTAAGGATAAAACCTAGTGAGTGAAGGCTGTGGCGAGCCAAGGCATTCCCCAGAAGTTCAAAATGCTTTTAAACTAAGTGGGACCACGAGCCAAACTCTCACAACTGCAAATTTCCAGTCTGCATGTAGATGCTGAGATAGAATTTAGGCATGGTAATAGCCTATGAGGAACAGGTTTTCTTGACAGGATAAGTGAAATGAATCATCTTAGTATTTGGAATAACTTGGCAATTGTTTATATGTATAAAAGAGAAAAAACAAATTAACAGAATGGGCAAAGTTTACATAACCACGAAGATAAATACTGTGGATTCCCTGGTTTTCATATTTAATATAAGAATTTCATAGATGTAAGCTTCAGATTAAAGAAAAACATAACATAAACATAAAGGATGTGAGTTTCCAAAATGATATATATATGGCATGGTATTCAAGCCAAACTTGTACAACAGAATACTCAGTGCAGAGAAAAGGTCAAAGGAGTGGAAAGCACCCTTAGACCAGCCTTCTTTATTTCTGTTCAAAGAGTTATAGCATTTTAGTTTTGGGGGAAATGTGATGGGGGTCAGGCTAGGAGTTCAAGTGTAGCAAGTTAATTAGCTGTTTGCCTCCTGGAAAGAGCACCAGAATTTCAGCTTTTACTTGCTCAATTGCAGAAACCAGGATGCTCCAGAGAGGGCAGAGCGCGCTCCCTAGTGGCCAGAGCCTGCACTTCGCCCCCTCCACCGTTTAGAGAGAGAGCTTGGGAGTCTGAGATAGCCAGCAAAAAACTAGGAGAGCCGGCTGGATTCAAGAGAATGATTTACATTGGTGGGAAAAGAGAAGCGTCGCCCAGCATTCTTCCAAAATTATCATATTGTGGAAAAACCATGTAGAAGGAAAAGGACCTATTTTCCTCTGCTTCATATGTTCAACTTTTTAGTAGTTTTGTGACTTTAATCATTAGTATTCAGTGGTAAAAATCCCAGAGTGATGTTTTGTCATCTGAATTTTTCAAATGTGAATATAAATTGACTTTCTCTGGTAGAATTGGTACTTTTGTTTTCTGATTAGGGAATTAAATTGAGATTTTGTTTCTTTAATTTATTAATCTGGTGTGTTGTTTTCATTAATTTCAGAAGTGGAAAGCTAAATAACCATTTAGAAGCTGCTATTCATGAGGCCATGAGTGAACTGGACAAAATGTCTGGGAGTGTAAGTTAATTTATTTTTCCATTATACTGTGTTTCTTTGAAAATAAGTTGTGTTATTCTTTTTGGCAGTGTCTCTTGAATATTGTCAAGCAACTCACATAGCAATACTAAATTACTGGATCAGGAAAAGACTCTTATCAGGAACAGTTCACAGTCATTTAAGAAAAATAATTTAGCAATATTAACTATGTCTTTTTTCTGAGATAAATAACTTTTGTTTTCTTATACAACATTCTTTTAAAATATAAGCAACAATATATTGAAGTTAAAGTCACAGCTTTCTTGACTTTTTGAATATCTGTGGCCATTACTATTTCCTAAATATTTAATAGTGCAAATTTCACTCTTTCCATTAGGAAAAAAAAGTGAAATTGAAAAGTTGGATGAAGAGTATATAGATCTCATTTCATTTCTACTCCCTTCCCTCTAATTAAAATACTTAGAATAAGATTTTGCTGTTAAACTATAAGCTATACACTCTGATTTTGCAAATATTATCTATGTTTTCTTTACATTTTTAATTGAGCTGTGCATTAAAATTCCTAGTGTCTCCTGGGACCATACAAATAATTTCAGAAGCAAAGTAGATCAGGTCTGACAGCAACAGGAATTCAAGGAGATTGAGAAAAACCAATGAAGATGCGCTTTGCTATGGGCTGTGTTGCAACTTGCAGTCTTAGAGATTCAACTCAGCAAAGTTGTTGCTCCTTGAGTCTGCTGCTGGTTGAGGAAGTGGTTGCTCCACACACTCATTCAGAGGTCCACATTCTTTCCATGTATCCACCATTCCTCAGGACCCTAGAGTGCTCTAGGCAGCCTTTGCATCCAGCCCAGCAAGCAAAAGAAAAGTGCATTTGTAGTGGACTTTCTGCATAATTTCTGTGGGCAGGGCCTGCAAACTTACCATTTCTCTCTCTTTTTTTTTTTCTTTTTATCAGTGCCGGGGATCAAACTCACAACTGCCTGCTTGCAAGGCAGGAACTTATGCCACTGAGCTAAATTCCCAGGCCCAACTTACCATTTCTTGTGATTCTGCATATGACCTTCTTAACTGGAGCAGGCTAGGAAATGTAGTATGTGATGTGTCCCCAGGAAAAAGAGAAAATGGATTTGACCATAATCTCACTATTCTCTGCCTCAGGTCTTTTGACCTTTGTGACCAAAGAGCCATAAAGATCATGTAGCCTGGGGATATGGGCTCTTTCTCCAGAAGAAGCTCCTCTTTTCATGCCCCCAGGAGATCTTAGCTATGTGGAGAACTGTACTGGGATTCCAAAATCTCCCATTTTTCTTCAGAAGCCAAAAGTGTAGAAGTAAAATTTCTCATTTTTGCAACTATTTAAAAAATATTGAAGCTAAATGTGATGGTGCATGCCTATAATCCCAGCACTTGGGAGGCTGAGGCAGGAGGATTGCTGCAAATTTGAGACCAGCCTAGGCTACAAAGTGCATTCAAGGCCAGCCTGAACTGCATAGTGAAACTGTCTCAAAAAGATAAGAAAAAAATTAAAATGCCATATGGCTACATAAAATAATTTGGAACCACATTTTGTCCACAGATTACAACAGTAGTTTGCAATCTGATAAAGACTTCCTCGATTACAAAAGTCTTTGATTGGGAATATAGCTCAGTGGCACAGCACTTGCCTGGCAAACACAAAGTCCTGATTTCAAATCCCAGCACCAAAAAAAAGTCTTCAGTTATAATATTTTGTTGGAAAGATGCATGGAGAGAATTAGAAGGAAGAGGTAGTTTGAAAATCTCGTAAACATTTTTAAAATTTTAAGTATGTTTTAAAAATCCTGCATTTGACTGAATAGTATTGATATAACCTGTATATGTGTGTGTGTGTGTGTGTGTGTGTTTGTATTTGTGTTGCTAAAGATTGAACCCAGAGCTTCACACATCCCTAGGAAGTGCTGTGTTATTAAGCTACATCTCAGTCCCTAAATATTGTTTTTAAAATGTATAATTGAACTAACTTGTGGTGGATCTCAAGAGCTAACCATGTACATCTCTTCTTAGTTCTAAATTCTGTGATACCCTTATTGGTAGATTGAAATTGGTCATGGTAAAAGTAACTACACCACAGAAGTTGGGAAATGTTACAATGAACTTGTGTCTAAATACTGGTTGTTAAGCATTCCTGTACCATTACCTCAGGGCTGTCCTGCTATTCCTGTTCTTGTCCTTACTCCCTCCCTATCAGTAGCTGTGTTAGGTCACCTGCTTCCTGCCCCTCAAAATCCTCTCTGCTAGCTAATGCTCTAATGCTGCTTAACCCCTGCTTAATCTGATGCATGGCCTTAATTGCTGCTGGTCCCTGCATTATTATTTAAAGACGAGTTGTATGAATTGCTCTTTCAGACTATACAAGCGCAGACCTGCCAACAGATGGTGGTGGTATCCCATTTTCCATCCTTATTCTTTACATAAGCAAGCATTGCATTGAACTGTGTGTGCATGTTCATATGACCTTTCATACTGCTTCATAGTTGTAAACTAAACACAGTGATAAAGTAGAAAAGAACGTGTTTTGTATGTATTAACCTGCCTTTCCAGGCTCCTGTGAGATTGGTCAACTAGGATACCTGGCAAGAAAGGCTTTCTTTTAGTCTTAGAAGTACAGTGGAGGTAGCAAATGTGCGTTGCGTTCCTTGCATTTGGTTTTCTCTGGTTCCCTGATGGCAAAGGTAGGGCGCGAGTACTGTAGCAAGCCTAAAGGTTTCGTTATGACATCACACAGCAAGCCTAAAAGATTTGCCATCACTATTCATCCTTATGTTCCACTATTTACCAGGTTTCTAGTATACTTTATGTTTTGACTGTGAGCACATAGAGGTCTTGCTAAAAAATTTAAATGTCTCAGGATGTCGTGATTAAAAGTAAAAGCCTATTTCTTTATCAGAACTCATATGGTGTTTATGATTTCAACCTCTGTTGTTATTGGTTTCTTCTACTTTTTTATTTCCAGGTTCACCAAATCCCACAGGGAGACAGACAAATGAGACCACCCAAGCCCAAGCGGAGGAAGATCTCCAGATAACAGAGACTACTCTACTAATGTGCAGTGTTTGTCAAAGAGATGTGCAGAGATGTATATGTACATAGATATGGATATGGCCACTGTTATATCAGTATTTAAACTATGGCAGATAGCTACCACCACAACAGGGTGCTAAGAGGAACAGTGATACACACGGAGAATGAGGAAGGATAATGAGTGGTGGAAAACCAGTCATAATCCCTGTATGATGAGAGGGATCAATGGTCAGGAGTACTGAGCAACTCTTTTTCTATGACACTAAAATTGTGATTAAAGAAATAGTCCAAATGTTTCTGAAGAATTTTCAGTGTTGTATATAGAAAATACAGAATTTCATGGTAATATCGAAAATGTAAATATTGTACAATATTGTCATGTACAAGCATACCTAATGCACACTTTATCTTTTATTGTACAAAGAAATAGTGTACAAAATTCTTTGGTTTCTATGGAGTACACCTACCAGAGACTACCAGTGTAAAGTGATAAATAAAAATACAACCTAAATGCTTTTCTATGATAATGTAAAAGATGCTGTTTTTGTATTTAACAGCAGAGAAAAGGCATGATGATGTAATATCTGAATTATGACATAACACTACACACCACTGGGTGTCCATTTATAATGTCTATTTGGAGTGGACCTTGCCTGGATACACTGGACTCAATTTTGGGTAGCTAGGAAATTGCAACCTTGCAGATTTCTAAAGGGATGAGGGCTCACAGGTCTAAATTAAGAATTCAGAAACTGCAACCATTTGTTGCATATTTTTTTTACCTAAGTTTTAAAATAGAATAAGTTTTATAAAAAAAAACTTAGATGGAATATTTTACTCAGCCAGTTCTGTAGTTAGTATTTGATAGCCACCTGTTAAGCTAAGTATCTTACCACCACCGATCCTCAGAACTAAGGTTTTTTTGCAAATGATACCTGACAAGGTAAAATTTCTATTTCCACACATGGAAGCAAAAGCCCCATTTTGAAACTGTTATCAAAGGCAAGGGTGATTATAGTTCAGTTTCTTTGCAGTGGCCAAAATAAATACAAATCATCGAAGCAAATTTCATATCCATTCATCAGTATTATTTAACCCGGAAGTTAAGGTGGCTTACAAAACTATTAGTGATGGTAATTTTTTATCAGTATTATGTAATATATCAGATTTATTTTATTTAAAGAATTATTTATACCATTAACAGATTCTTATATATATATATATATATAAAATGTGGCTGAAATGTGCAGGTTAAATCTATTAACCAAATTATTTATATTATATTAAGTAAGAAAAAAATGTGAAACAAATGTAGAGAGAAAATACTACAAGTATACAAACCTAAAACTGTGAGCCATTGTAAAGTACAAGGTAATTAATAAGAATTGTAGCACAACATCATTTTCCATCTTTCTTTCCACAATTTTTCGTGATGGTGGCATAACCCGGCCCGGAGGTAGATAAGTGAAGTTCCAGATCACCAGCCTAACTTCACCCCAAGGAGGTTGTCATCCCTTTTTCTGGGAACCACCTGCCTCCACCCCACAATCCACTTGGAGCACTACCTGTGCCTCGCCTGGGGCTCTCTCCACAGCCTCAAGTTCTCTAATAACCAGCTCTGGACGCCACCGCTTCCCCCACTCTTTTCCCCATCTGCTTCCCCCGACCCCACTCCTCAGTGCTGAGTTCCAGTCACTCAGGAGAAAGGAGACCGAGGTCATTCCTCGAGTGAGTTTCTGGGGGCCACAGCACAGAGCATGCCACCTTGGCTCACTTCTGATGGCGACAGCTCTTAGGCCCCATGTGTCTCGTCCCTTCTGTACCCACCACTCTCACCCTCCATCCTGAGGGGGCGAACTGGGCACACTGAGGTTCATGGCCTGGTGCAGAACTCTTCCTCCAGGGGTAGGTCCCTCCATGTTTCCAAAATGCTGGACCTGCCTGCCTGGCACCTTATATAGGTCACAAACATGTAGTTTAGTCGACACGTTTTTGTTATACCTTTGCTACCTTGAAACCATTAATGTTTATATATATATTTTTTGCATCAACCTGCTTTTCTACTGTTTTGTCTACACAACGTGTTTCTTCACAGACAGGCACCCTTGTTGCTTGTGTGTTGCGTGTGTCTGTATGTGTGTTTGTTAAGTGTTGATATATGAAGACTTTTTAGCCTTTGCCTTTCTGTCTTCAGAATGAGTTTGGGGCAACCAAACCTTCTTTTTGTCATTTTGAGCGAATTCCATTCGTGCTTGCCCACCACTGTGTACTTTACATCAGTAGCCCATATAAAGTATGTTTCTGCCCATGACTTCACTGGTTGCATATGGCTTTGCTGTGAGTGCTAGGTATAGCTGTCTCAGTCCACATGAGGTCTTTTTCCTCTTGCAGTTAAATGGTTTCATGTATGTAGTTAATGTAAATATTGTTAGCGTTTTAGGTCATGGAGTACTTTAATATTTTTTTAGATGTTGCACCTTGTTTACAATTAAAAATTGGTCACTCATACTTCAATTCTGCCCATCAAGCCATTTCTTTCTCTTTGTATTGAAGCTAATTCATTTTTTTAAAAAATGAAGGCTAGACCTTCAATGTTAGTACATTTTTTATTCCCTAAAATAAACTTTTTTAAACAAATCCAAGAATGGAAACAATGAAATTTTTTTGCTTCTTTCAAGAACACAATAGTTCCTGATGGAAAAAGGAAATCTAATTTAATTTTGTGTCCCTAACAGCCCTAGATGCACATGGAGAATAAACTACACATTGCAGTAGTTTTTAGAGAGTATTTCCAATGAGTGAATATTAACTGAGCAGCTTTTGTGTGGCTTGTCTTGTTTGTAGCATAAAAAGCATTCAAAGGTTTTTATTTATTTAAAGGAATGTTTTTGGATTGTACTTTTCAGTCTCATTATGAATGAAAATTCTTTAAGAAGAATATTCATCCCTTGTGATATCATGGGCTACATGTAGTCTTTTATTTAAACTCTTACTTAGAGTTTTTTGCTATGTCTGTTTTTTAAGTAAACATAGCTTTCTTACTTAAATATAACCCTGCAGAATTGTAGGAGGGGTGGAGGGCTGTTATTTCACTTTCCATGAGCTTTATGAAGACTCTCTTATCACATGAGTTGATTCTTTTTCATTTCAGACCATGATATCAACTTTGGTACCAATCCGCAGTGTTCCCTTGGAAGTCAGGAACAATTTTGCATTAGGATTTTGAAATCTCAGACGCTCAAGATGTTTGTGGCTTTGTTCTTTCTGAAAAGAAAGAGAAGACTCTATACCTTAGTGAAGATTCAAAATCTTATTTACTTTACCCATTTATACCCAAATGATATGATGCAAGACTCAAGATTTTTCAGTGGCATGTATAAAATAAGTTATGTGCTACTTGATTCATTTGGGGATATGAACAAAAGATACCAGGCAACCATAACGATAATCCTGAATTAGTTTTTCTTTCTTTCATTCACTTTCTCATATTTGCATTAGCCAAAGAGATAAGAACATTAGTAATTCATATGTGTAACAACACAGAAGTGAATATTAAATCAGTAAGCCAAAAAGCAATAAACAACTGAAGCATGGTATATCCTGCTAACAGTGGGGAGTCTGATATAGAAAAAAAAATATATATATAAAGCATTATCTTCAAAAATGAAAGATTAATTTGTATCTACTGTAAATATGTATTATCAGCCTTATCTGCTTTATACACACTGTGTGTGTACTTCAGTGACCTTTTATAAACCGGAAAAATGGTTGATTTAATAATTTGTTATGTAAATACAAAGTTGTCTATAAATTGGAAAATTTGATGCCAGATGGCTTCATTAATATACAACTGTGTTTTGTAACATCATGCCTTGATGGGTTAAGTATAAATACACTGGAATGTCTATGTAGAAAAGACGCAGTTTACATTTCACTTGCATTTCAAATGGATATTTTTGTCCCCAGGGTTATATTATTAGGAAAAGAAAATGACCTGCATATTTTCAATGTGAAAAACAAATATGGTTTTGATTTCACTGAAACTTTTTTTCACACCCAAAAATCTGTTCAATTCCATTTTAAATGCTGTTCATTATAAGGTTTCCGTAGGTAATTCATTAATCTATGACAAAAATCTACCTATGAAAACTACACAATTATTCCACTGGAGACCTAGCTACCCATCTTCTAATACTAGGCAAGCAGAGGAAAAGCCCCAGCTTCCTTACTATGTTTCAACTTACTATTTTCTGCTTTGTTTCCATACATTTTGGAAAGCACAGACAAATAGGTCCTGGTTCTGTGATCTCAGGTATGTGCAGAATGTCACCTTAATGCAGGGCCTCCCTATGTTGACACTAATGACATTTGGGCCAGGTCATTTTTTGTTTGTGGGGACACCCTATGAATCATAGAGTGTTTAGCAGCACCTCTGGGCTCAACCCACTAGTGGCCTGTGGTACTCCCTCCCAAACTGTAGCAATCAAAAATGACTACAGCCATTACCAAATGTCTCCTTGGGGGGGGAAATGAGGGGATTCAAAAATAAAATTTGAAAACCACTACAATAATGAAACTAGTTCGAAAGCATATATCTGTGTAAAGTACGGGCAGATTTGCATTTAGAAACTGATGCCTAAAAGTAGCCAAATTTTATGCCAAAGTAGAGCTTCTGAGCATATGGTTAAGGAGACAAACACATTAATATCAGTTTTACTTCAACTCACTTTACATTGTAAGACCCAAGACAGGCATGTTTTAAGAACCCTCTGGCTTAGAAGAGTCACCTATATATACCATGGCCCAGAGTTTGCAGGAACACATTGCATCCTAGGCAGTGCAAGGAGCTTCAGTAAGAGAATGCTTCCCGATGGCAGTGTAGCTGCCTGTCCTGGGTCAAGAAGAGGAATACCTACGGGGACAAGCGGGGCTCAGGTACCAGTAGTTCTGAATTGCCTGTAATCAGTTTTGATGAGCATCTCAGAAGATTTAGGAGGTTTCACGGTTAGATTTGCTCATTCAGTAAATGTTTACTGAATGCCATTGTGTACCATACCCTAAGTGACAAATAGGGATGTAGCAGTGCATGAGACAGGTCCATCCTCTCCCTGACTAGAGTTATAGATGCCAGTTAAACAGGTGAATATGATAAATGATGCTAAGGGATAAGAGGGGAGCACATCAGAGGGCTGTGACATCATTTCATGGGGGGCAGGGTCAAAGGAGGGCAGGGAAAAGATGAGGAGTCAGGCAAAGACCTGCATGGCATGGGAAGGGGACGACAGAGTGTGTTAGAGGCAGAGGAACCAGCATGTGCCGAGGCTTGGATATTAGAAGAAGCATGAAAGAATAATGGCTGGAGAGTTACGGGTCTTGGGCCAGTCTGTCTTTCTCTTTTTCTTTCCTTTTGGAGTGCTGGGGATTGAACCCAGAGCCTTGTGCACCCTGGGCAAGTGTTCTCTGACTGAGCCACATCCTCAGCCTCCCGAGGAAGTCTTGTTATCACTCTTGCATGTACCAT